TCCTTGTTTCTTGCCTTATTTTCTGCGTATTATTTTGAACGCCCTTTGAGTGTGCTGCTGTTAAATTCCTGTGCATGTTTTTCTATATAATGCACTTGGAGTGAAAGGAACACTTTAATTCTCAGAAGCCTTTCTTTGACACTGAAAACAGTGGAAGTTTCCATCTGTGCACTGGCTGTAGTTGAACACATCTCCAAAATCCAGCAGAAGATGGGTAGGTTTCCATGTGGAAGAGGCAGTGTTTACCTCTGAAGGAGCAGGGAGCTCTGTAGAGTTACTGGCTTTCAGAATGGTGAAATGGATGCTTAAAACTGATTTCTGAAGCTCCCTGGTATCCCCTCTCCCTGTTTGGGCAGCTACTCTCACCCCCTTTCACAATCCGCAGCCTGTGCTTCGCTTAAAAAACCCGTGGCTCTGCCTGGACGTGCTACAGCTCCCCGCTGGTGGGAGGGGATGGAAACAGGGACCATTCATCCCAAACAGAATCCTTATTCATGGGCCAAGCTGTAAGGCACTTGGGCTCCCACCTCAAAAAAAAGTTAATTGGAGCCTATACGTAATTAAAACTGCAGTTCTCACTTTCCTAAATAGTTTAGCGTGGAATCTTTGCAAAATGTAGGTCTGCAGCCTCCATCTTCTCAAAGAGCTGTAGTGTCAGGGTAAGGAAAATGGTGAACAGTGTAGAATGGCAACAGGGCCCTGCAGAAGAAACCGTTGGAAATAATGTCTAAATTGTGTGGTGGGTTCTTTTTTTAACACATAGAGTACTTTGAATGAAAAGGGTCAGAGAAGGCCAATGTTTTATTAGCAGCTATAAAAACAGATGAGAGTGATTAGCCTTTTTCTTGACAAGAAAAGCTGTATTTTGAGCTTTTCTGTGTAAGTATAAATTCTCAGTAATGGTTAAAGCTATCTGCTGGCTGCCTGCCATCTCAGCTGGAGTCCAGGGAAGTTTTCTTGGTGTTTCTTTCACAGTGGTAACAGTACAATACTTCAGAAAAACAACAGGGTTTTTTTGTCATGTAGGATCCCTACTGTGCCCTCCTAATTTCATGTTGTCCCCTGACTGTTCCATTCAGTTGTCACTGATAATATTAAAAAAAAAAAAGGTAATTTTATGCCTTTTACTCAAAATGAATTTAGAAATAAAACTCAACTTCTACAGTATCACCTCCTTCAGTGTTTCTTTGGTTATCATCACAGCAATAACTGGCTTGGATTTTTAACTCTGAGGGGCTTGGGTGCATTACTGAAGAAGAAGAAAGGAAGTTTTCTCAAAATTCAATTCTTTATTTAAAAAACAAAAACAAAAAACAAACCCCGAGAAAACCCAAACCTGGCAAGTTGCCAAAACCAAAACAGTGTTACCACCAAATTAAATTAACAGCCTGTTAAAACTGTTGGGGCTAGCAAGAGGGACAGCAGGAGAGTGTTCATTGCTGGAGCCAGGTTTGTGCTACCTCCAGCTGTGCCTGGATTGCCCAGGCGGCCTCTTCCCCTGCTCAGGTTCATCCTCTCCAGGACTGGAAGAAGTTTGAGGAAAAGTCTTGCATGACGTGACAGGCTGAGAGATTTTGGATTGTTCAGCCTGGAGAAGAGAAGGCTCTGGGGAGACCATTATAGCTGCCCTTTTAGTACCTGGAGGGGGCCTACAGGAGAGACAGGGAGGGACTCTTTATCAGGGAGTGTAGTGATGAGGGGTAATAGTTGTAAATTGAAAGAGGGGAGATTTAGATTAGATATCAGGAAGAAATTCTTTACTGTGAGGGTGGTGAAGCACTGGTACAGGTTGCCCAGAGAAGCTGTGGATGCCCCATCCCTGGAAGTGTTCAAGGCCAGGCTGGATGGGGCTTGGAGCAGCCTGGTCTAGTGGGAGGTGTCCCTGCCCATGGCAGGGGGGTTGGAACTGGATGATCTTTAAGGTCCCTTCCAACTCAAACCATTCTAGGATTCTATGTGCAAGGTCAACTCCTGAGAGGTTGTATGTAATGCCCTTACCAAGAATAAAAACGTTCCTACTTCTTTTTAACTTGAAAAAATTCGCAAATTTAAAACCACTACTCTGGAATTAAATCTTGGATTGACCTGAGGCCCGTGATAATTTTGCTGAGACTCCGGAGTCAGAAGTTATTCTTTATTTATGGAATATGCCAGTATCTGTGTGGCATCTGAGGGAGCTGTGTAATGTAAAGGCAGCTGGCAGCTGAACGACGTGCTTCTCTGAGGAGCAGCAGCTGCCTGTACCTGGCTCATTTCTTTCACAACAGCGGCTTATGATAAACCTTCACCTAAACTGCACGCTTGGGTGGAGGCTGGGCTCAACAGCTACCTCATGGTGGCAGATCACACGCAGCCACCTCCAAAAATAGGTCAATAGAAGCAGGTTCAGCACCTCTTTTCTTCAGGGCACTCCCAGCCCTTTGCTATAGACCAGAACACCAGTAACACACTCTAGTTCAAACAATTCCGTCCATTTCCAGTCCTTCCCATGTCATCTTGTTACACAGATTTTTTTTGCATTCCACTTGTTCTAGCAAAGGTTTTTCCCCACAACCTACTGATGACTCTGAAAGTGACCGCTTTGAAGACTGCTCCATTTGAGGTGACTTCCTTTATTTCAGTAGGCACAGAACATGTGTCCAGTGCCACTTTCTCCAGTTCTGCTGCTTCTCCCCTTTCCCTTTAACAACATTCAAGCAATTCAGGCAAATCCTTCATTGCTATTCTTCTCCTCAAAAACTTGTGGTTGGTGTCAGGTGGCTGATGGCCACTCCTGCAGCTACTCTACTTGGAGCTTTTTGCCACTGCAGTGACAACTGTCCTCAGGGGTTGCTCTTGGGGAGTGCATCGCTGCAGATGTGTCACCACCGGTCCTTCCTAGCCCTTTCTTCACCAGTAGCCAGAACACTCCTGATGGTGACCTGGAAGCCTCTTCCCAGCCCAGCTCAAAGCAGGGAGGAATGGTCCTGTAGGGAGAGTGTGGAGCCCTGCCCACCATTGGTCCTCGCTGACCCACCTTTGAGTGTCTCCTGCAGCTGGAGACCCCCTGGGGAATGTCCAGCCCTGAGAAGAAGCAAGGGGAACGCAGTTCCCTACAAAATACCAACAAGGAGGAGATCAGCAGACAGACTAGAGGACAACGCTACAAGGCTACTCCCTTCTACTACAGTGCAAGGCAGGGTAAGAGTGTGCAGTTGTTTGCAAGGTGGAGGTAAAAGGGTTTGAGCCATGGGCCACAGAGAAGGTGCTGATGGTGGTAATGGGCTGGCCTGGAGGAAAGGGGGTAAAGGAGGTTTGGGGTTTTCTGTTTTTTTTGGTTTTTTTTTTTACACTGTGAGAGTGACCGATCACTGGCACAGGTTGCCCAGAGACCTTGAGTCTCCATCCTTGGAGATGTACAAAAAGTGTCTGGTCACAGTCCTGGACAACTGTCTCTAGGTGGCCCTGCTTGTGCAGAGGGGTTGGAGCAGTTGACCTCCATGAGTCCCTTTCCACTTCAACCATCCTGTGATACCCTGAAGTTCAAACCGTGGCTTCAAGAGCTCCATTTGTTACCCAGCTTACTGCTGAGTCGTTAATGGTGATGAATTTGTGATGAGCAATAAGACCAGGACTTTGATAATAACTTCATAATAAATCTTGAGTTTTGGATAGCCAGCTCCTTCTTTTGTCGGTATTGAGACAGAGTTGAAACAAAACTCTTCAGAGATAATGTTACTCTCTCCTCCTATGGCTTTCCACATTGTACAAGAAATTTGGCAATTTTTGAGTGATGTTTTAAGTATCGGGAAATGTCCATGTGCTGAAGCAGCTGCGTTTCTAGTTGCTACAGAGCAGAGGAACCAAAAGGGGGTGGGAGAAGATTAAGAGACAAGCACAGGAGAGCCCGTGGTCTCGGTGTTAAGAAGCTGTGTGCATCACCCCTCAGTCTTGGCGAATCTTTACATTTTCCCTCCTGTCCCTGGCCGCTCCTGGGAAGGTCTATGAGAGGTGGGAGCTGGCAGCAGCTATGAAGCCTCCTGGGCTGAGTAACTTGCAGGGACGCAGCCTGGGACTCTCTAAGCCCAGGGGGCATGTGGGGTGGGAATTTCATGGAATCATGGAGTTGTCAGAGTTGGAAGGGACCTCTAAGAGACCATATGGTCCAACTCCCCTGCTAAAGCAGGGTTGCTCAGAGCACATCACTCAGGAGCATCCAGGTGGGGCTTGAAGATCTCCAGAGAAGGGGACTCCATGACCTCCCTGGGCAGCCTGTTCCAGTGCTGTCACCCTCACCGGAAAGAAGGTTTTTCTCATATTTAAGTGGAACTTCCCAGGTTCCAGCTTGTGCCCGTTAACCGTCCATTTAACAAGCTTTGTTACAGCGAGCAGACACCCGTTAGCCTCCCGTGGGGTCAGTCCATCCCCGCTGGCTGTTTCCTACAGCTTCTCCCCTCCCCCCCTCCTTCCCCGCCGCTCCTCCGCGGCCGAGCTGAGCTACGGCGCCCCGGGAGCCTTCCCAAGCGGCGGCCCCCC